GAGTACTTTTCCAAATAAGTACACTAACTTAGAAAGAGGGTAACTAGAAATACAAAGTGAGCTGTTTTAGCCTTTTCGACAAATATCATTAGTTCTGAAATTACTGAATTTATTTCATAAGTAGTTTCAACACCGCATACTATACGTGACCAGCTTTTAGCTGAACAGGAAAAATAATCTTTGCGGTGAAAACTTTCAAAATTTGACATTATTTTTCAAACGAGCATTTAATTCTTTTTCTTAAAAAATCATTCGTACTGTTTGCAAACTCTTTACTTCTGATTGAGTACCGAATTTAAACTTTATACTTTACTTACTTGTATATGATCTTCTAGGTGTTTATTTTAGTGCAACAATAAATTATCTAGCAGAGTATATGTTTCCTGTATGCCTAAAGTGTTGGGTTTCTGCTTACACTTGAATGCGCGTCTGTAATATTTAACTACATACATATTAAAATTAATGAAAATAAGATTTGCCCCATGGTAACCGTTGCCTAAAATTAATGCTTGTAGACAAAAATATGAGCCTAACTTGTGACAAAATTGTGTTTCGCGCTTCTCTTAAAATTCAGCTTTAAATTTTTTACCATTTCAGAACGCAACTTGAGTTTGTCCTTTATGGTTAAATATTAATATTGATGTACAAGTTTTCATTCTGTATTTTGCCCTCTATGGTGAAACATAATTTGAGGTATTTGGCCGTAGATACTTAAATATTAACGCAGTTGTAATCTAACTGGTCATTTGATAGCCACACGCATTTACTCAAAATTGAAGTTAGTATGTCCGGCCCATCTTTAACTTCGTTACACGCGCATAAAATTTAAGTAAAAGTCTCCCGCCGTAAAAAATAATCCATTTTAGCTGGTCTCTGTGCATTGGTTTGTATTTTTATAGCCCCGTAATGTGTAACAAAATTTACTTTCGGGTCTAATTGTAAAGCGGGTTTCCGATTGCCTGTCGCCTTGCGCATTACTTCAATTAGGTTTTATGTGCCGGACTAAACGTGAGCAGAAAAATAATACACAAAAAGCGGATGTACCGTTTCAGTCCTCCCTTTACTGCAACGTGACTAGTTGAGTACAGGTTGTTAACAGTGTGTTTGCACACCTACACAATAACGTGCTAAAAGACATAAACCTGCACAATTTTGATAAATACCCTCGTAAGATTAAACTTCACCACCGCAACGTAACTCGGCTTCAATAATTCAAATAAGCAAATGAAATGCGCTTTTGCGGCTCCATCAAATAGTTTAAATGACTACTGATGCGTCTGGGCCGGTGCACTGAGGATTTAATGTAGCGTGCCAACGAACTGCTAGTAATTAACCTCAACTTATCGTTACAAATTAAAATCTGAATTTCTGCGCTTGGTTGACAGTTGCATGCCTGAAATTCTTTCGATATAGCGTGTTTAGCCTTAACACTTCAGGGTTTAACTTCGTTTCTATTGCGGGCGCGTGTGAAATTACTAAAATAGAACGACGAAGTTTGGACGGAGCAATTAGAACGAGGTTTGTGATAATCCCCTAAAATTTAAAAATAAAAATATGCAACTCCTCGAGCTGAAACTAAATATTTTTTATGGACAAACCTGCGGGTTTATCCAATTATCTTTATCTGATTTCGACCTTCCGATCGCAATGAGGGTAACAATAACAATTGCCTTTGGGATAAACTCGAACTCATTGTCTGTTGGTCTTTATGTATTATTTATGACTGCTAGATAAACTCATGGTAGGTATAACAACACGACGGGTATTTATGCTGTTTATTTTGGTAGGCATACAATGTGATCAGAAGTGTTTAACCGGAGGGTCGCCTCATTCATCTAGAAATAAGTTACGTAAATAAGTTACGTAACCTGGACTTTGTGGAAAAACATATAAATAGAAATTCCTAATATTGAAAAATCGACTTTATTTATTACAGCAAAAAGATAACTGATAAATATCAGATACATCTTTGACCTAAAAGCTCCCCTAATATTTAGAGTTTAGTGTATTTTTTAAAGTTTAGTACAAGTACTGATTTTAGGCTATATATAAGCGCTCAATTAAGTTTATAGTTGTTCCCAGTCTGAGATAAAATTGTTAAAGTCTTCTTAGTATGTTTATGATCCACTCAACCCACACCTATTTCATTTAAAGTTGATATGCCGTGTGAAGTCATAAACCAGTCCAAGTCTAATACTTTAACTATAGTTTAGTTCCATCACATTTTGGTGTTATAATGACAGTCGTTCAAAAGTTAAGATAGGAGGAGGATCATTTCTGAGAGGCTATAGGATCTATCAAAACAACAAAACTTATACAGTATGATCCAGAACTTTTCAGATAAAGGGAAGCTGTGATAAGCGCACGTTGAGCATGATAGATAGAGAGCTAATATAGAGAGCTAACGTATTGGAAATAAATAGGACAAGCTAACGTGAATTAATCACAAGCCCCATTTGGATCATACGGTATTTGAAAGATAATAAAATAATAAAATTGTATAAAAACATTACATTAGTTGTTATTTATAAGTCTCTGCAAACGTATTTTTATTAATTTCATTTTACAAATATTTTTGCCCTATAAGTGGAGAAAGGGAAGGCAATATCTAGCTACACAATATTTAAACATACCTAGGAAACCTCAAAATATTAGGATTTGCAAATGACTCGTAGCCTTATACAGGACCTACTACTCACTTCTTAATGAGATAAAGACATCACACTGTGTCGAGAAGTGTCTAATTAGCAAAAAACTGCCTCCTGATATGCACCGAAATGCGATTTATGAGAGTATCTGGATCATGATCAAGTTTAACAAAAGCTGGTAAAAGTTTATATGTAATAATTGTTCTAGTTCTTGTCAAAATTTGTAAGTAAACTGTTAGCCGAAAATATTAAAAATTAAGAAAGGGACCATGAAAGTGAAAAGTAGTAGATATTGGTGTCTATTTCATTAATGTAAAAATTTAAAAGATATTTTGTGTTCTATTAAAGTACTCGTAGATATAGTAGTTATTTAAATAAATAGTGCACAAAATGATATTTTGGCTCATGAGAATACTGTATTTTTTACGAAGCGTAGGCGTAACAATTAAGATTTTTTTTACAGAAGTAACAGTTTAAAATACATGCGTTTGTCCTTCTCTGCATTAACTGTCGCACGTCTCTAAAAATAATTGTTTTGCAAGATTAAACATTACAATTTTTCATTAGGTAGTGTATAAACTGTAGAAAGGTAACCCCACAGAAAAAAATGTAAAGGAGTCAAGTTTGGAGTTCGAGGAGACGAGGGTTGTGTGCCTCTTCAACCTATCCAACGGTTCAGATACACCCTTCGTCTTTTTTCTCTAGAATCTCTCCTCTCAGGAAAGAAGAGGTTGGAAGTAATTTTTTTATTTTGTTTTTCAAACTTAAAAAGAGTTCGGGAAATTACATTTAGTTTGTTTCTTACGGTTAACTATTTTTGGTTGGTCCAAATTTTCTTATTTGAACATTCACCTCAGATCCTCTGGTTTGCCAAATTTGTGTGTATTGTTTGTTTGTAAATAAAATGATTCTTTTAATAGAAATTGAGGTTCATCTAGGAAACCACTGGAAAGATATTCTAAAAATAGCAAATGCAGAATTACTCCAATATACCCTTCTTATTGCCTTGTCTCAAAAAGTAATCATTTCAATAATTATTTTCATACAATTTAGTGATTTTTTTGTTTAACTAAAGTTCAATTTAGTTTAGTAATGGCCCTTGTTCTTAGATTCTTTAGATAGTAGAGTGGATTACATAAACGTACATTTTACTTTGTCTTTATGATCTTGCCAATGGTAACCAGACGTCCTTACGAAGATTAAGATCATAGCCGTATAATTTAGCATTATAATTTATAACAATAGCTGATTCTTAGTACCAATGTATGGATCGAAATTCTTCAAGAAGAGTTATCAACAACTGTTCCGCTGCAGTAACGAAATGAACTGTACATTATGTAGAACATTTCGGTTTAATTGCTGCTCAGTATTTGGACGGCGTGTCTCCTGGTTGGATAGATTGAGGAGGCCCATAGTCGTGTCCCCCTTAGTGCCCACTCTTACATTTTATATTCAGATTGTGTCCTTTGTGGTCACCTTACATTTTTACTTTATAGAACACCAGTCGAAAATTAAAGAATTATGGGATCATTTTTTTGCATGTGGTTAAATAATTCAAAACACTCTCGGTATTTTTGATCGCATGTCCCCGTTGGTGCAGAGGATAGAATCATGTATTATAGGTTTTTATTTTATATTGTTTCTTGTCTACAATGTTAATACGAACTTTTCTTCAGCTTGGATAATATTTTTAAAAGAATAACTTAATTTTGTACTTAGCGTTAAACTGTAAACAAATATTTGCAGTCGTTTATATGATTCTCATTTCAAATACATATAACGCTAGAAAACATAGTTTGTTCTTCCTTTTTGGAAAATTATAAAATACTTTTGTGAAATATTTACGATACAACAGTAGTTAGTTGTTTCCATTATAATTGCAAATATTTATTTTATTCTAATGAGGCATTAGTGGAACTGCTTATTCCTATTTCAGCATAGCAACAACCTTAAGCGATAATTTAAATGTATAGTGTTATATACAGTATGATCTAAAAATTTTCAAATAAACGGTGGGTTATTAGCGCACGGAGGGATTATAGACACATAAGAGAGCTCCTGTTTATTTGATAGAAATAGGATAAACTTATGTGTATTAATCGCCATCTTCCTTTATCTAAAATTTTGTAGACCATATTGTATAAAGAAAGTACCGATCACAGAAAAAAATACGCGAAGCTATTAGATCTTCCATAGGTAAACCTCAAACCTATGACCTGATTATCATTGAAGAATTTTTTATTATGAATAATAAACGAGTTGTTTAAAATTCATAACATATTAATGTATCATTATATCTAAATAACAATATAAGTATTTTAACCGTTCACTAAAGAAGACCTTTTTTTACAGGCACTTATTTCTTATTATACGACTTTATCGACTTTTTCGAAAAGGATGGACCTAGCTTCCTTCAACGAGACAAATATCACGATATTATCGACACGATTTTCAAAAACATGAGTCGTTTAGAGCGTGACGCTATTGTATTTCAGGTAAGTCTGTTTGTATTCTTATCTTGTATTTACAAAAATATAAGAACCGTCAGTGAATACGACCCTATCCAGTTAGATAAACGTATACCTAAGGTTCAGTCAATGAAATCAATGAAAAACCATGAAAAATCATCCCATGAGTTTTCGGAAAAATAAAAGCGGCTTTGGTAATTCATATGTTTTAACGTTGATGTAACAAGTCCAACACGTCCGAATGCAGTGATATAGTTTGGAAATTTAAAGACGTTCTTACTTCTTATTCCGTTTATTTAAAAACGTGTTAATAGCGAGAAAGTTGTATTTCCACATCTATGTAATTTGATACAGTAACTTGCTGCTGCTGGACACACCTTTGAAACACGCAGTCGCATTACAAAACCGTTGAAACACGAAAAAACAAGAAACTTTATGTAGACAATAATATATTTACATTAATAAATTGCACATAATATCCTCATATTTCTCGTATAAACCGATAGCATTTTCTGTACACTTATACTTGTTGCCAAAGCTAGTACGACATTGTTAAAGCCTACGTCTTTTGGCAAACATGGAAGCGGTAACGTTTTAAACTGCGATTTTGAAGGAATAATGCCTTCTACCAAGTTTAACAAGTAATATCAAAATTGACGAAAAACTGGTCGCGTACTCCAAAGCAGTTTATATTTAGAAACAGACTGTACTGGCAACCTTATAACTGAAAATATGAAGTTATTCTAGCATCACTGACTGTCTTGCTATTTCTTTAATTTCCCTTGTGTAAAATACGGGAACCATAATTTAAAAATATTTAATAAACATAAAAATCATCAATTCCTACTCGTGATTCAGAGCGGTAATGCCTCTCAGAATGATACCAAAGAGAGAAATAAATATCATTTTTTACCGTATTCGATTGTTATTTTCTGTCCTTATATGAAGTAAATTTTACTTTACATAAGTTGTAATTAACCATTAAAATGGATTTTATTGTAAAAGAATATTATTAATTATTATTACTTACATTAAACGACATTTTTTTTAAACATAAATACACCGACTTACACCTCTTTATAGCATTTGAATATTTCGTATACCTTTGTATTTTATTTTCCAGTATACGGATTGGGAGCATGTCAACGACGGATACTTAAATCAGAAAATGGTTGGTGATGTCGTTGGTGATTATTTTTTTATTTGTCCCACTAACGACTTCGCGGAGCTCGCAGCAGAACGAGGAATGAAAGTATATTACTACTTTTTCACACACGTAAGTATACTAAGGCTTTTATGGTAACCTACTATATGATTTTTATTCATTTCCGCTAATGGTACTGTATTTTACAATTTCATTGTAACCGTCGAAACAAAACTAATTAAATAGAGCAAATATTGTTGAGTTTTTACAAATGCGTCAATTACCAGAACATTTGCCAGTTAGTTCAATTTTGCAAAGCAATCCTGCAATGGTAAATTCTAAATTATTCAATAGAGCCACAGTTATACAGCACGAGTTAATTAAATCCGCTCCGACTACCCGTACATTAACAACAACGAGATCAAAACTTCTTCACAGTTGGAGATCTAACAATTAATAAAAAATTATGGTAATTCTACATTTATTCAGCAAAGCTCGGGTTCCCTTGTTTCAACCTGAAACTTTGTACAATGCACTACGTTCACATTTACTTATAAAAATTGAACACAAAATATTTAAATACCTTTAAACTTTTAGTTCCGTGTCTCTTATTGTTACAAATTTGAATAGCAGCCAGATATTCTGAATTGTAGCAATATGGGCTTTTGGGTAGGGTCGCCATTGTGTTATTTACTCCATATGGTTTTAGTGGTACAAACACTGAAGTCATGACTCATGAAATAACAGAAATTTTAAGGGTAAGTTTATAAAAAGAGAGAGTCCTCGATTGATTTAACAGAGGATTAAAATGTAGAATATGAGCCCGTGATTGAACATTGCATCGCAACAGACCTCAACTAAAAGTTAATCGCGATTAACTTTTTATTCGCTTTCTATAAATCAGATCTAAATGAAATAAATATTCTTAATTCTATTTTGTAGCGGAGCTTTCAAAGCGCTCCGCTAGTACCCTCTCGAGGGCGCTGTCCTCGGCAGCGCCGATATCAACCCCACCAAGCTCACCCCCACTGGAACGCACCCCACCTGAAGTTACTTCATTGTGCAGGTACTCCCACGCATCTCAACCCTGCCTATAAAAGGGCAACTCGGCCGCTTTTCAGGCAGATGGAACGCCACCATCTCCACCTTAAGGGCTGCACTGTCTCGGTCCCCTTCTGGTGAGCACCGTACAGATGGAACTCCACCATCTCCACCTTAAGGGCTGCACTGTCTCGGTCCCCTTCTGGTGATCACCAGGGCTGCACTGTGTTACGGTCCCCTGCGCCGCTTCGAGATTATCACCAGGGCTGCACTGTTTTACGGTCCCCTGCGCTGCTTCGAGATCATCACCAGGGCTGCACTGTGTTACGGTCCCCTGCGCCGCTTCAAGATTATCACCAGGGCTGCACTGTTTACGGTCCCCTGCGCTGCTTCGAGATCATCACCAGGGCTGCACTGTTTTACGGTCCCCCTGCGCCGCTTCAACGACGTCATCTCCAGGGTCGCACTCTCTAGGTCCCCTGTGCCGCATCGCCGACGTCGTCATCTCCAGGGTCGCACTCTCTAGGTCCCCTGTGCCGTATCGCCGACGTCGTCATCTCCAGGGTCGCACTCTCTAGGTCCCCTGTGCCGTATCGCCGACGTCGTCATCTCCAGGGTCGCACTCTCTAGGTCCCCTGTGCCGTATCGCCGACGTCGTCATCTCCAGGGTCGCACTCTCTAGGTCCCCTGTGCCGTATCGCCGACGTCGTCATCTCCAGGGTCGCATTCTCTAGGTCTCCTGTGCCGCACCGCCGACGTCGTCATCTCCAGGGTCGCACTGTCCAGGTGCCCTGTGCTACATACATCGCCGCCGTCATCCCCTACGACGCTCTGAGTCCCAGGAGCCGCCACCATCCCCGACGAGAATTGCCACCACTTCGATAACCCATACCCATATTTTGCTTTGTATTGTTTGCTTATTATCAATAAACCGCTGAGCTACCACAAACTGGCGCCCAACTTAGTGGCTCGAAGGAGGCAACATTCTACAAATCTATCGCCCAACTTAGTGGGGCTCGAGGTAGGCAAAATACCACAAAACTGTCAACCAACGAAGAAGGCAAGATTCCACGGCAAAAAAAAAGAACTCACACTCCCAGTCCGAAGAAGTCCCCGTAACTCCACAATGGCGGCTATACAGATGACACCAGAGCAGTTCCAGCAGCTCTTGGATAGGGTACAAGTTGTCCCACAACCGCAAGTGGTCAGGAACCGCCACTTTACCCACTGCCAGGCCCGTTTTGACGGAAAGCGCGCCCACGCTGCTGTAACGGAATTTATTACGGCTGCGAGTTTATACAAGGATATGGAAAATATCACGGACGAGGACGCCATAGCCGGCTTACCCCTACTATTGACTGGAGAAGCCAATCAATGGTGGAATGGCGTGAAAAATCAGATTCACACATGGAGAGAAGCGACGGAACTTCTACGAGAAGCTTTTGCCCCCAGACGACCTAACCATCGCCTTTTTTTGGACATTTTTAATAATCCCCAGGACGAAAAGACGCCAACCGATAAGTTCATAACCGTCCAACGAGAACGACTGGCACAAATGACGAGAGACTTGGACGAGGAATGGCAGTTAGACATAATCTACGGTCTGCTGAGATACCATATTCGGGATAAAATCGCCAGGTCCGACTGCAGGTCCTTCGCCGAACTTCTCGATAAGTCCCGAATCGTTGAGGAGAACGAGCGAGAAACGAGAGTTAGAAACCACGCACCAGAAACCCCAGAAAATGGCCAAACATTCCGACGGCAAGAATTCCCAAGAATCGACCGAAGACCACGGCCCAGGTGCGATTTCTGTAAGAACTTTGGCCACGAGACACAAGAATGCAGGAGAAAAACACAGGATCAGCGACGACCGGCCAATGACCAAGAAATCATTAGATGTTACGGATGCCAACGTCCCGGCGTCTTCCGCCGGAACTGTCCAAACTGCAATTCAGAGACACGACGGACAAACCTCTGTGCAGCGAGGATAAATTCTAGAGCGCAACCCACCATAGATCGCTCACAAGAAATCCTCCGAGATATGCAGGTACCGCCACTCACCGTACCGATGCAAATCGATGACATCCGGACCTTCTCCGCACCATCACCAGCCCGAGATTTTTCCGCGATGGAATACATGGGGGCTGACGCCCACTCCGCCATTGGGAATGAGAAATTCCCCGAAATTCCGCGCATCACGTTCTCCTCTTTGCAACTTCCAGCAGAGAAAGGACGGACCTTCCGCAAAGAAAAGAAGTCCCGGCGTAAAGGGCGGAGGAAGATGAGGAAACCCTTTGTGCTAACGACAGATAGCAGCTACGTACGAGGAGTAGCTCCACTCCAGGGGGAGGCCACCAACGAACTCCCTGTAAAATACGGTAGCCGCTTGTTCACGAGCGCCGAAAGGAAATACACCGTCCAGTCGCGAAGACCCGCACACGAGTACCAACCCCGAGATCAAGTACTGGTAGTAACCCATCCACGAATCAACGCTCGAAAAGGAGTCAGCGCCCAAATTGCTCCTAAACGCGAGAGGCCTTACATTAGGCGCCCACAAGGACCTACGAGTTATAAGGTATACGACGCACAGCATCCCCAAGCATCCCTAGGTTTCTACCATACTCCGTTTCACGGGAGCACTACACCTACGCCAGCGCCAGTGGCCCCGCTACGAAAACGAGGCCGCCTCAGAAAGCAAGTTCAGGACCATAGTCGGGACGCCTTAATGGTCCTGAGGGGGAGATTGTAGCGGAGCTTTCAAAGCGCTCCGCTAGTACCCTCTCGAGGGCGCTGTCCTCGGCAGCGCCGATATCAACCCCACCAAGCTCACCCCCACTGGAACGCACCCCACCTGAAGTTACTTCATTGTGCAGGTACTCCCACGCATCTCAACCCTGCCTATAAAAGGGCAACTCGGCCGCTTTTCAGGCAGATGGAACGCCACCATCTCCACCTTAAGGTCTGCACTGTCTCGGTCCCCTTCTGGTGAGCACCGTACAGATGGAACTCCACCATCTCCACCTTAAGGGCTGCACTGTCTCGGTCCCCTTCTGGTGATCACCAGGGCTGCACTGTGTTACGGCCCCCTGCGCCGCTTCGAGATTATCACCAGGGCTGCACTGTTTTACGGTCCCCTGCGCTGCTTCGAGATCATCACCAGGGCTGCACTGTGTTACGGTCCCCTGCGCCGCTTCAAGATTATCACCAGGGCTGCACTGTTTACGGTCCCCTGCGCTGCTTCGAGATCATCACCAGGGCTGCACTGTTTTACGGTCCCCCTGCGCCGCTTCAACGACGTCATCTCCAGGGTCGCACTCTCTAGGTCCCCTGTGCCGCATCGCCGACGTCGTCATCTCCAGGGTCGCACTCTCTAGGTCCCCTGTGCCGTATCGCCGACGTCGTCATCTCCAGGGTCGCACTCTCTAGGTCCCCTGTGCCGTATCGCCGACGTCGTCATCTCCAGGGTCGCACTCTCTAGGTCCCCTGTGCCGTATCGCCGACGTCGTCATCTCCAGGGTTGCACTCTCTAGGTCCCCTGTGCTGTATCGCCGACGTCGTCATCTCCAGGGTCGCATTCTCTAGGTCTCCTGTGCCGCACCGCCGACGTCGTCATCTCCAGGGTCGCACTGTCCAGGTGCCCTGTGCTACATACATCGCCGCCGTCATCCCCTACGACGCTCTGAGTCCCAGGAGCCGCCACCATCCCCGACGAGAATTGCCACCACTTCGATAACCCATACCCATATTTTGCTTTGTATTGTTTGCTTATTATCAATAAACCGCTGAGCTACCACAATTTTTATTTTTGGATAAAAAATTGTCACGTCAAATATAATAATCTGCTCCAGCCAATCTAGAAAGTAAAAAAAAGTATTTTGAAACATGATCTAATTACCTAAGTAAAATAAATATTTCGTCTTTCTTAGCTTACGTTTAAGGGTGACATACTAAATTTTATTTAGTGGTTAAAAATATGTGATGCGTTTTGTTGGAAAAAGTTAGAAACGATAAAAAAGTGCCTAGTCTAGTGCATATACATGTGTTAAAAAACCCCGTCAATTTTTAGAAAATTCAAAGGAATTAAAGATGAC